GTATGTATGTATGTATGTATGTATGTATGTATGTATGTATGTATGTATGTATGTATGTATGTATGTATGTATGTATGTATGTATGTATGTATGTATGTATGTATGTATGTATGTATGTATGTATGTATGTATGTATGTATGTATGTATGTATGTATGTATGTATGTATGTATGTATGTATGTATGTATGTATGTATGTATGTATGTATGTATGTATGTATGTATGTATGTATGTATGTATGTATGTATGTATGTATGTATGTATGTATGTATGTATGTATGTATGTATGTATGTATGTATGTATGTATGTATGTATGTATGTATGTATGTATTTTTTTTCCAATCATTTCTTTGGTAAAAAAGAAAATCACCAGGAGATCTAAAAGAAAAATAACTTGTGCAGGCGACCTTAATTAAAATGTATCTGAGTGAATGTCATGACAAAGAAAAATAAAAAATTTCAAATGATTAATTCAAATTGGAAAATAAAAATTTTACAACGTTTCTGAAATTGTCTAAAACATTTATATAATAGCAACAAAAATCAAAGTAATATCACGAGTATGAAATAATAATAACTTATTAAGTTTACAGAACACTTTCGAGAATTTTGTTCTTTGCTGTTTTTTTAAAGGAGGCAATAGAAGAGAACTGTGAATTATGGAAACTAAATTCATTCCACATTTTAGCACCTCGTATGAACCAGGATTTATCATTTAATCCTGTCCTACTTTTGGGTATTTTCAAACATCAAGTAACAAATGAATTAACACTTTGATTTGTCGTTAATTGCACATGTCGGCATTCAGCTGGATATTTTCAAGCACACAGACACGCAGGAACCGCTGCAACAAGCACGAAATGTGGTTAGTTGCGAAAAACAGTTCCCTGCTGTCGCCTGATCTGACGCTGATCATTTTACATATTGCCTTAAGAAATTTAAGGGTGTTGGGGTCCATCGGGCCGAGAATCTCGATACATATTGGCAAGAATTCCATCGATGGGAGGGCATTCCCATATTTTTTCATTTTCTCGTCCGCTACCCTGGCCGCGGCCAAACCGCATTCTTTACTTGTCAGGTTTACATATCGTTCGGCAAGGGTGCCAGGGACCGTAACATACCACGCCAAACATCTACCGGCTCTCCAAGGTATTAGTGTGCATCTGTCCGGGCACCTATCATCATGCGCAAAAATGCCGGATGGTTCCTTGAGAACCGGGATTGAAGCCTTGGAGAAGAGCCGACAAATGTAGTCGTTTAATGCTGAGTGACGTAGTTGACGGCCCCCACCCAGGCGACAAACCAAACCGTGGTGCCCAAACTCGTCCGCCCCAGCGCCACATCGGCACGTGTATTTATTTTGAATGACTAGGCCAAGTCTGAAGCCAATGGCAAATCTCACAGACTCGTCGTCAAGCCTGGTGCTGGCCCACAGAGGTGTTGGGCCACGATCTCAACCACCCACAGCTGGCAACGCTGGACATGGCCAACAAACGAGCGGTGGAAAAGTCGTCGCCGCATGAAGACAACAAATTTTGAAAGATTTTGTTATATTCTTCATTCAAAATTTGGACGTGCGTACGGTCCCCCGGGGCAGACACTGGGGGAAGAATATCGCGGCAACGAAAAAACCGGTGGAACAGGGAAGACTGCAGGTTGAGCGTGGCAGCGGCAGAAGAATTATAAACAACTGGAGTCAGCTGAACCACGCTAACCAACCCCAGCCCACCAAATCGCACCGGCAGCTGAGCTAGGGACCAGCCACTGTCGGTCACTTGAACAGTGCAAATCGACGACAGAGCGGTGCGCAGGGCTCTGTCAAATTCGCCCAATTTAGAAGGATCAATGTGTTTGGATGTACGCAGGAAGTACATCAATTTGGGCAAACTGAGGGCATTGCGGATAATAGTCAAGGCATCATGGGCCGAAAGACAGGAAACACGACCCAGGGCGAATTTGAGCTCAGAGAGCTTTTGGTCAAAAAACTTTATTTGGTAATCGCCCTCGACCAAGGGTGTGCCTAAAAAACTCAATTCTGATGCACCAACTCTGGGTATTCCAGCCAGCGCATGTGGCACTTGAAACAAACTTTGGCAGTGAAGTTCGCATTTTTTAATGTTTAACTCTAAACCAATTGCAGCGGAGTTATGCTTCAGATATTCGTAGCTATTGGCCAGAGTTGGGCCGTCCGAAGCAATGCTGATATCATCCAGATAAGCGCAAACGAAAGTGGACAAAGCTTTCTCTAAGAGTGGATGAAGAGTTAGTGCGAACAGCAAATGACCAAGGGGATCACCCTGCTGTACCCCCTCGGACGATTCTACAACCCAAGAGTGGTAGCCAAGAGAAGAGACTCCGCCATAGGCAGAATGGCAAAAATTATAGATATTGGGGCAAAAAAGTTTGACAGCCTCCAACATCGAGTCTCTTCTCCAGGCGTTGAAGGCATTTTTAAAGTCCAGTTTCAGAAACCCCCATTGATCGGGGAGGTCGGTGATCAATCTTTGAACAGCGGCCTCACCTGACACCCAACTGAGTCGGGTAGAACTTAATCCTGACACCCAACTGAGTCGGGTAGAATTTGGTCTTGAGTTCGACCACGACCAGGGCCAAGGCATATTTGCCGGCCAACTTCCTCCAAACACTCCCGACCGCAATCGTCTTTCTTATTTAAAGCTATTAGCCGGCCTCCAAAGAAAAACCGGCGGACAGAGAGTGGGCAAACTCCAGATAGGATCAAATTAATGAATTGGGTTAAGGAGTTCAGTGTGTCGTTGATTGGCAAGGGGCCAGAAAAAACATCCTTAAGGTGCTGGGGTCGTAGGCCATCCAGGCCTCCGGAAGAACCGTTTTTGAACGATTTAACGGCCCTCAGCACCTCGGCGGGAGAAACGCAATCAGCCGTTGGTGCCAATGCGGGGAAGACCCGCCTGTCCACCGGAATTTTTGGGTGGATGGAACATAATTTATCGAAAGTGGATGGTGAGCTCTCCGCCAGGCCCTCCGGCGAACAGACAAGTCTGACAGCCGAGGACAGGTTTCCCTGTTCAATACAAGATGACACAGCGTTGATCCACCGATCGGGGTTGGGCTTTTGTGATTTGGCATTATTGAACCCATCAAAGCACAGTACCAGGGTTTCAAGACCAATAGTTGAATATTCGCTTAGACGCTTGTTGACCAGAACCAGATTGCCCTGGTTGACCCGGCGACCCCCTCTGGAAGTCTTCTGTAAAACGTATGGGACAAAACAGTGGAGTCTAACCCAGTGAGCCGGGTCACCAGGGTCATTACAAACAGCCGTCAGCAAGGCGTTCAGATCATGTGCGAACTTCTCCCTGCATGGCTTAGGGATATGGTCGTACACCGGTACACATTTCAGCACGGCCGTCAGCTTGTCAAAAACACCAGAGTAATCCAGGTCGAGAGGATCACCAGAGACCGATGCGGCCGACGACCGTGTGGGCAACCTAGGCTTGGGGTCGGGTGCGGCACCGAGAGGCGAAGCAGCCCTCGCGCCCGATGGGTCAACTTTTTTCCGGGACCCCGAGCATTCCTGTTCTTTCGCTTTACCTCCGTGCCGTCCAAACCAAGTGGGGTGGATGGATGAATGAATGGATGAACAAGCGAATGACCACATGAACGGGCGAGCGAACAAACGAATGAATGAGTGAATGAACGAAGGAATGAATGAGTTAATTACTGAACGGGTAAGTGAAGGAAAAAAAAAGAATGAATGAATGAATAACCAAACGAACGAATGGATGAATGAACGAATAAATGAATGAGTGACGGAATGAATGAACGAGCGAACGGATGAATGACTGAATTATCTTTAAATATTTAACCATTGGAAAATATATATAACTTTTTCAACTTTTTTTTTATGTTTTTTTCCTTCCTCTTTTTTCTTTTGACGAATGAGTGAGTGAAAAAATGAGTGAATGAGTGAATACAAAAACCTAGGCAACAGTGTGGGAGGAGACAACTATTGCAACAAACTTTGGCCCAATCTCTCCCCTTACAGTTTATTTTTTTACACAGATTTTAAAATTGGTTTAGGAAATTTTTTTTTTTATAAATAAATTTTAATTTTAAATTTTAATTTCAAAAATAAATTAAAAAAAAAGGTCGGTAGAAGGTAAATAAGTTAAAATATAGTGAACTTTCCGATAATAATAAAAACAGCTAACACCTGGCGCTGGCCGGTGACCTGTAGCAGCTATGAGCTGTGAATAAATTATAATATTGATAAAAAAAAACAAAAAACGAAAAAATTGGCAGAGGCAGGACAGAAAAACGATAAAAAATATGGAAAAACTAACCAGGGACAAAATTACAGCTGACGACCCCAAAAATTATATGTAAAAACAAGTTAAAATCAATGAATTTTACAAAATTAACCAGAAAATTAAAACAATCCAGCCGGCAAACGAGGTATTATGTATGTATGTATGTATGTATGTATGTATGTATGTATGTATGTATGTATGTATGTATGTATGTATGTATGTATGTATGTATGTATGTATGTATGTATGTATGTATGTATGTATGTATGTATGTATGTATGTATGTATGTATGTATGTATGTATGTATGTATGTATGTATGTATGTATGTATGTATGTATGTATGTATGTATGTATGTATGTATGTATGTATGTATGTATGTATGTATGTATGTATGTATGTATGTATGTCTGTATGTATGTATGTATGTATGTTAAAACCAAAACATGATGAGTGACACTGAACCGTCAAACATCAAGTAACAAATGGATTAACACTTTGATTTGTCGTTAATTGCACATGTCGGCATTCAGTTGGATATTTTCAAGCACACAGACACGCAGGAACCGCTGCAACAAGCACGAAATGTGGTTGGTTGCAAAAAACAGTTCCCTGCTGTCACCTGATCTGACACTGATCCTTTTGCCTATTTCCTTGAGAAATTTAAGGGTGCTGGGGTCCATCGGGCCGAGAACCTCGATACATATTGGCAAGAATTCCATCGAGGGGAGGGCATACAATGTATGTATGTATGTATGTATGTATGTATGTATGTATGTATGTATGTATGTATGTATGTATGTATGTATGTATGTATGTATGTATGTATGTATGTATGTATGCATGCATGCATGCATGCATGTATGTATGTATGTATGTATGTATGTATGTATGTATGTATGTGAGGGAGCATGTGTGTGTGTTGCGTGTGTGTGGTCATGTGTGTGTGCGTGTCTATTTAATAGACGTGTGATATAAAGAAGTTGGCGTGTTGGAAAGGCAACTGATGTACGCCTTGATGACGACGACGACGACGACGATGATGATGATGATGAAGATAATCATGATAATGATGCTAGTTAATTATCGTAATGATGGTTATACTGATGGTAGTTATGTAACTGATGATTGTAACTGTTGCAATACAAAAATAACATTAACTGCCTAAAGAGCGAAAACCTACACAACAACAGCAACAGCAGCAGTAATAAAAGTTAAAACATCAACAACAACAGCAGTAATAAAAGTTAAAACATCAACAACAGCAACAACAACTGCAATAATAAAAGTTAAAACAACAACAACAACAACAATAATAATAAAAACAACTAAAAGTGAACGCAAACCTGAAGCATAGAGAGACACCTCACGATGCAGCGTCCTGAGTTAACGACGTCGCCACTCAAATTACTGTCGTCGTCGTCATTATCGTCGTCGTTGTTGATGTTGTTGTTGTTGTTGATGTTGTCACATGATACGGTGTGCAAACAAGCGAGCGTTGTTAATAATATCATCATCATCATCATCGTTGACGCTTTTAAAGATATATGGGGAGGTGATGATGACGATGATGATGGTAATGATGATGACGATGATGATGATGAAGATAATGATGATGTTGATAAAGAGGTTGATGATAATTGTGATAAAGATGATGACGAAGAAGATGATGACGATGATGATGGCGTTGCTGATAATGATTGAGATAACGACGATGAAGATGACGCCGACGATGATGATGATGATGATGATGGCAGAAACGAAGATGGCGACGTCGCCGTTGATGACGTAATGAGCATTTTGTAGCGCTCCCTTGGGTTGAAGCTAGGCATGATGAACATCAGCAAGAGTTTTATCTCTATTTAGTGTTTTTAATAATAGCCGTAGCAATGATAATGATTATAATTATTGTTATAATATTGTTAATGTTATAATATTGTTATTATTATTATTATTATTATTTTCATCATTATTGAGTTATTATTTACATTATGACCAAAAAATATCGAGAAATTAGGACGATGACGACGACGATGATGATGATGATGATGGCGATGAGGAAGATGATTATGATCATGATGATGAGTAAGATGATGATGATGATGATGACGACGATGAGATGGTGATGACGACAATGCTATCGAGTTTTTTTTTTTTTATTCCCGACGAAACGAAAAACATTGATCCATGTCAATTCTTCAATCTCTCTCTCTCTCTCTTTCTTTCTCTCTCTCTTTATCTTTCTTTTTTTTCTCTCATTCACTTGCCCTCTCTCTTTCTCTCTCGCTATCTCTTTTGTTAGCGGGTTTAGAATGCTTTCAAAATTTGAAATGGTGTATAAAAAGCGTCAATGGATAGAATTCGTTTTTTATTATCTGAGTACGCGCGTAAAACTGAAATTATTGAACTTTCTGTCATTCGTTCATTCATTTATTCATTTATTTTTCTCAATCACTATCCAACATATTCATTCGTTCATTCATTCATTCATTTATTCATTCATTCATTCGTTCGTTCGTTCGTTCGTTCATTCTTTCGTTCGTTTGTTCGTTCATTCATTCATACGTTCGTTCGTTCATTCAGTCATTCGTTCGTTCGTTCGTTCGTTCGTTCATTCATTCATTCAAAGACGATTTAAAAATAGAAACGAAGGTGAAAACTAATGTAACAGCAGTATCAGTAGCAGCAACAGTAAGTTGTATTTGTTTCATTTTTGTTATCATTATGTCATGTCTATTTTGTTTTAGTTTTAGAGAGAAAAAGCGAGTGGAAACAAACTAATTCACAACCCCATGAATGCACGATTTATTTTCCCAGATTTATTTTTACAACCGCTAATAATTTGCTTGACAAAGGGTGAAACATTATGAAACACTAAACAACCGCAGTTAATACATAGACATACATACATACATACATACATACATACATACATACATACATACATACATACATACATACATACATACATACATACATACATACATACATACATACATACATACATACATACATACATACATTCATACATACATACATACATTCATACATACATACATACATACATACATACATACATACATACATTCATACATGCATACATATATACATACATACATGGCGTTTCGAAACATGTTGATTGACAGATCATCGATTTCTTTAAAAACTGGCTTACGATCAGATTGGGGAAATTTGTTAGTGGTCCCGGTTACTAAATTAAAGATTGCATCAGGTAGTTTTGCAGTTTATGGACCAAGGCATTGGAATGAACTTCCATATTTTTTGCGCCGGTCTGGTCTGACACTTCCCCAGTTCAAGAGTCAATTGAAGACATATCTTTTTTCATGTAGAAAATTGCCATAGTTGTAAAGCGCCTATGAAAATGTTTTTAATAGGCGCTATATAAATGATCATATAATAATAATAATAATACATACGTGCATAGTACAGAAATACTACATGAATACTATCTGTTACGGTGTACATTCATATGTGCTACCTACTATTACTACTGCTACTGCTATGACTGTTACTACAACCACTACTGCTACTGCAACAACTTCTACGACTACTGCCGTCGATGCTGTTGCGACTACAGGTATTACCTCGACGACAATGATGACGATGTTGATGAAGATGACGACGATGATGATGGTGGTGATAATAAATTACCTTTTAATTCTCCGTTTAGCTGTCCACTTTGGTTTTCGGCGATCAAAATAAAGACTGTGTGCCTATATTCATATTTATTTAATGTTTTTTATTATTGTTATTATTTTATTATTTATATTAATTTTACAAATAAAACTATTATTTTAAGTAGTAGTATTATTATTGTATAATTGGTTGAAAATTTAAAGATAACTAATCGATCATTTTATTATTAGAAAACTAATTACAATCCGTATTAATTAGTTAATTATCCATAATAATTAATTATCCATAATAATTAATTATCCAATTTTTCAATTAATTATGCTATTATCCAATTAACTAATTTGGTTAATATTCCGTTTTTACTGATATTAATATTATTATTAATTGAAATTTGCAGTATTTCAGTAAATTTTTTAACGACAATTTTATTCATTCGTTCATTCAATCTTTCATTCGTTTTTAATTGATTAATTCATTGATTGATTCATTGATTGATTCATTGATTGATTCATTTATTAATGAAATAATTAGGATTAACTAAAGCCAAAAAAGAATTTTCTATGTTGAATACGTTACATACCATTACATTGTAGTAATATTTCTTCATATATAATTAAATTCGTTATAAAATTTATTGAAATTATCTAATTATTACATTAAAACAATTAATTTTTCCTATTTAAACCACATATATACGCATATGAGCACACGCAAGAAAATTGTATGTTTGTATTTGTATACGCACGCACGTACAATGTACGTATACATGTATGTATGACGCTTGTATGTATGTTTGTTGGGATAGCAATTACATTGGTTTATATTCTTTTCCATGATCACCATTCTATATAAAGCAGACAGAAGATGTATGTGTATGTATGTATGTATGCATGCATGTATGTATGTATGTATGTATGTATGTGTGTGTGTGTGTGTGTGTGTGTGTGTGTGTGTGTGTGTGTGTGTGTGTGTGTGTGTGTGTGTGTGTGTGTGTGTGTGTGTGTGTGTGTGTGTGTGTGTGTGTGTATGTATGTATGTTAAAACCAAAACATGATGAGTGACACTGAACCGTCAAACATCAAGTAACAAATGGATTAACACTTTGATTTGTCGTTAATTGCACATGTCGGCATTCAGTTGGATATTTTCAAGCACACAGACACGCAGGAACCGCTGCAACAAGCACGAAATGTGGTTAGTTGCGAAAAACAGTTCCCTGCTGTCGCCTGATCTGACGCTGATCATTTTACATATTGCCTTAAGAAATTTAAGGATGTTGGGGTCCATCGGGCCGAGAACCTTGATACATATTGGCAAGAATTCCATCGATGGGAGGACATTCCCATATTTTTTCATTTTCTAGTCCGCTGCCCTGGCCGCGGCCAAACCGCATTCTTTATTTGTCAGGTTTACATATCGTTCGGCGAGGGTGCCAAGGACCGTAACATCCCACGCCAAACATCTACCGACTTTCCAAGGTATTAGTGTGCCTACCATCATGCGCAGAAATGCCTGATGGTTCTTTGAGAACTGGGATTGAAGCCTTGGAGAAGAGCCGACAAATGTAGTCGTTTAATGCTGAGTGACGTAGTTGACGGCCCCCACACAGGGGGTCTGTATGTATGATATGTATGTATGTATGCATGTATGTATGTATGTATGTATGTATGTATGTATGTATGTATGTATGTATGTATGTATGTATGTATGTATGTATGTATGTATGTATGTACGTACGTACGTACGTACGTACGTACGTACGTATGTATGTATGTATGTAAATACGCACAATTTATATTAAATAAACACAGATGAAAAAATCGTTTTTGGAATATTTAGGCTTCAGTGAATCCCAAATCTCTGAATCTGTTGAATCCCAAATACAATTATGAACCAAAATATCCTTATATGAAAATGAAACACACTAACATAAATCCATGCAAACATAAACAAACATAAATACTAAAACACCCACACACACATGTACAAATCAAAACACACACACACACACACGTACAAATACACAATACACCAATAAACACACAAATAAGCACAACAACACACATGAAACCATGTATTAAACAATAATACCAAATATACAATATAGAAATACCACGCAGGCAGTACCCGATAAAAAACACAATGTGCATTAGACATCACCACATCATTAAGTCAGAACCTTTCATCTAGCCATCAGCATTACTAACCAGAACAATAGCAATAACAGCAACAACAACAATAATAACAACAATAACAATAAGAACAATAACAATAATAGTAACAAAAATCTTTCATTAATATGCGCGGACAGACGCATGTGATGTTTGTGATTCCACTTGCAAATACTTCCACATTTGTCTCGTAATTATTATTCTAAATATTTTTACAATTATTACTTTTATTATAGATTGTAATTATATTTTATGGTGTAATTTGTGTGATATGAATCGTAATTAGTATTTTACTACTATTATTAGAGGGTTGTCTTCAATTTTTCTTACTAGATTTTACTGGGAATTAGTTATAGTTCTATTATTAACATTATACATTAGATTACTATTGATTAGTGAGTGAATACGTAAAATGTGTAATGTCCTAAAGCCTGTAAAGATAGTAAAACTTGTAAACCGTAGTAAGTGTGTATTGTCGTAATTTAACAAAGATAATTGTATCAAGATGAACGCGGATATACAATCTATTCCTTTCCTTGGAAGGGAATAGATTGTATATCCGTTTGATTACGATAGATTGATATATTCATTTGATCGTGATAGGATTGTTATATCCATTTGATCATGATAGATTGTATCCATTTGATCATGATAGATTGTTATATCCATTTGATCGTGATAGATGTGTATATCTCTATCATTATTAACATAGTTAACATTGAGCTAACGACCGTTTCAAACAATCCTAAACTTGCAAGTTACGAATGAAAGCACGAAATACGATCAACGATGATGTAAAATGTGGATTTATCACAACAAATACCAGTATTTTTACTACAACTGACAACTGCTGCTACTAGACTACATTTACTGAAGCTACTGCTACTACTACAGCGGCTGCAACTACTACTGCTGCTGCTGCTACTACTACTGCTGCAACTACTACAACCACAACTGAAACTAACACCAGCGAAAGTAATCGTGCGTATGTAATATTTTCTAAAAAGAGATTTACAACGATTAATTTCTAACATTTAATAATAATAATAATAATAACTACAATAATAATAACTACAATAATAATAATAATAAATGAAAACAAAGAGTAAAAATCGTGAGAGATGATGTTTATATTGACAACATTAATCAGCCAGGGAAACATGTCGATCATCATCACCATCATCATCACCATAACAATTATAATTATATAATAACAATAATATTATTTATTATCATGATTATTATTTTCACCATCGCTATCATCATAATCTTCACCCCCAAGAAAGCTTAATCATCATCATCGTCGTCGTCATCATCAGCGCCATCTTGAGTTATCATACTCATGATTCTACTAATGTTATCACCACTCATTAAATCGTCGAAGCTTGCACCACCACAGCCACCACCATCATCATTATCACCATCATCATTTTCTTTTCCACCTTTCAGCATGTTCAATACGCCCATTTCAAATTCGCCATCAAAATAACTATTATTATTATTATTTATATTGTTATTGTTGTTGTTAGTATTGTTATAATAATCATTATCAGTATTCTTAATCGCGACGTCATCATCGTCGTCGTCGTCGTCGTCGTAGACGATGTCAGTCATGTTGTAGACGTCATCGTTGTCGTATCTGACGTCATTATCATTGTTGTTGATGTTATTAGCGTTGTTGTTTTTGTTGTTGATGTTGTTGTTATCACCGGTTTCGTTGACGTCATCATTGTCGTCGGCATTTTCATTTTTGTCGATAGGTGAGTTGGCTATTTCGCCTGTGGCTGTTTCATTGATAGTTGATAAGTTCATTCAATCGTTCATTCACTCATTAATTAATTAATTAATTAACTAACTAATTAATCCTTCATTCATTCATACATTCGTTCGTTCATCATTTCTGACATCATCACCATAACTACTGTCATCTCTAAAATCCACGTAGTCTTTTCCAATACAACCATCGAGTACCATCATCATCATCACCATCATCATCCTCACCATCATCATCATCATCATTGCCATCATCATTATCATCACCAACCACATAATCGTTATCATCACCACTAACATCATTATCATCATAACAACCACGTAATCATCATCATCATCATTCAATCCACCACCATCATCACCACAAAAATCCGTGATGAAAAAAACTGTCTCCTAACACTTATCCCTGTAGGAATTGATGATGGCCCGACACTTCTCAACAGTCCCTGGCGGATACCAGCCGTTGGCCTCCGTGCAATCCGTTTCCTGTTCGTGAGTTAATCGCAATCGGCCATAGCTATCATCATTTTCATCATCGTTACGGTCATCAACAAAATTACCAAGACTAACACCATTAAAATCATCATCGTCCTCCTCATCATCTTCTTCATCATCATTTTCATCATCATCCTTTCAACCAGCACCATCCATCATCACAATCACCATCACCACTACCTGTCCATCATTGAGATGGATGAGGTACTGGACCTCGGGTACTTCGATGTGACGGAGGTGGTAGAAGACCTGCCTGTATTTGGGGGTGACACCCGGACGGAATATGTAGCAGGGCTCCTGAATGGGGTTAGTTAGTTGGTTGGTTGATTGATCGGTTGGTTGATTAAATGATTGAATGGTTGGTTGATTGGTTGGTTGATTGAATGATTGGTTGGTTGATTAAATAATTGGTTAGTTAGTTGATTGAATAATTTATTGGTGGCTGGTTGATAAAATGATTTGGTTGGTTGATTGAATGACTGGTTGGTTGATTGAATAATTGGTTGGTTGATTAATTGGTTGGTTGATTGAATAATTAATTGGTGGACTTATTGAGAGAAAAAAAAAGTGGAAGAAAAAAATAGAGAGAAAGAGGAAGAGAGAGAGAAAAAGGAAGAGAGAGAGAAAGAGAGAGAAAAGAAACTGACCAATGATTTTCTATACTCCTCTTCCATCTTCTTCAACTTTTCAACAAATTTTTCCTTCATTTTTTTTCTCTTTATCCCGCCACCACCAGCACCACCATCATAAGCAACATCACCACCACCGTCATCATTATCAACCTCGCACCCAACATCATCATCATCATCATCGCTATTGGTGGTGTTGTTGTTTTGTTGTTCTTCTTGTCGTTGCATGAAACTTGAGACTTGTTGGATGTGAGTCTTGCTGATTGTTGTCGGTAGGTTGTGTTCAAATGTGTTCCTCTTCGGTTTTATCTTGTTCGTGAATAAGTTGGAGTAACCTGGTTGGTTGGTTTATTGATTTAGTGATTGATTGGTTCAGTGATTGATTGATCCCTTGAATTCATTGAAGAATTAATTATGTCACGAATATGATCTTATTTAAACATTAAAAAAATGATTTCACTAAACACTGATGACACATACACATACATATACACAAATAAAAACAGATACACACACATACATACGCACGCGCACACACACACGCACACGCACAGACATACTTCTTTCCTGTCTAAAATCCAAATTCTGGTATATCTTTGACTCAGGATGCTGCCTCAGGTTGTACCCCAGTCTGACCCACATGGCCCTCCAGGGCCCATCCACGCAATAATAGGTCACAGTTGGTAGGATGGCCTAATTTTAGTAAGAGAAAAAAAGTAAGGTAAGAGAGTGAGAAAAGAGTGAGAAAAGAGAAAGAATACAGAAAGAGTGCAAATACCTTGAGATCTTCTCTTGTAAAGAGGGGTCCAATTTCTGCCATCAGAGCAACAGACGTGTAGACAGGGTGTTTGTCGAATGCCTGACGAATGTCGAACATTGAAACAAATTAGTGAAAATGAATTAGTGGAATGAGAGAAAGAGAGAAAAAAATAAATGATGACGTACATTTTTGATCCTATCAATTTTCCAGTTAGGAATGAGTAACTTCTTAACTTTGAGTACCGCTTCGACGTTCGGTTCATTTGGTACGCATGAACTTGAAAATTTAAATAAATTGGTAAAGTGGGGTCGTCTGGATCTGGCTGGAAAAATAAATTAAGAAATTATAGTTTAACATTTTTTTAAATTATTGATTTAAAAATTTTATTTTCATTTAAATAATAAAAATACAAAATAATAAAATCAATACACCAACACATTTGAACGTAACAAAATACATTAAAACAATCGCAGCAGTTACAAAAATCTAGTGAAAAAATGTGACTTTTCACCCAATTAATTTAAATAAATCATCTCATGCTATTTATGATTTTCATAATTTAAAAAGTTAATTAATTTTTATTTGTATCATAAATGAAAAATCTCAAAAACAAAACCATCACATCCTCAAAAAAACACCCTCCAACTGTTCCATACACAAAATATACAAATTCAAAAACACCCCCCACGAACACCAAAGACAAAACATACAAATTCCGATGCAATTTTTAGGAAAGTTAAACTGCTTCTCCGTCGCCTTCTCCCTGAAACAATACTGAAATGGTTGATCAAATCGACTGAAGAATGGAGGCAGTAGGAAAAGTGGTACTGGCTTCTGCACCCATTGGCTGTAGTCTCTCAAGTTGACGTCCTTAAATGTGATGTCATCGTGGAAACTCGTGTAGGTACCGTTTTTGTTCTGAGTCATTGGAAGGTACTGGAAGTCACAGAGAGCTGTTACAGTAGTGACAGTAATGATGTATGTTTTAAAATGAAATAAAACATTTTTCTTGATTTAAAAAAATTGAGATTTCGCAAGGAAAATTATTCAGAAAAATAAAAAAGGCATTAGTTACATCAGGATTAAAAATTAAATAAAAGTAACAAACAAATTAAATAATGAAAGATAATACAAAGGAAGACAAAACTAAGTTTATAACCAGCAGCTAAACAAATCAACTTACAAGTGAATGTTATTACTGTCTCAACTGTCCCTACAATCTCACCCTCCAAACACCCTAAACTAGATCTGGTATCACTACGACAACCGACATTACTATTATTATTATTATTGCTATTATTACTATTATTATTCTTTTTCCTCCTGACTTTGAGAAGTAGGCAATACCTTGAGCTCCTGTCCCCGTATGCTGGCCTGGAAAATGGGTTGTCAGGTCGAAAGTTCAACTTTATTCTTTTGCTTATATCTTTAAAAATCTTGGGTAATGCGTGAGATTATAAATATATTTATAATTTATTTATATTAGTGTATGTGTGTGTGTGTATGTTTTGTTGTGTATTGTGTAGTGTGCATGTATTGTGTGATGTGCATGTGCGTGTTTAGTGTGTGTGTTTGTGTGTGTGAAAAGACAGCTATAACAAAAATCCTTATTTAATTTATTTATTTAGTAAATTATATATATTAACAAACAGATAACAGAAAAATGTATTAAAATTTTTTTACAATCAGAACTGAATTTTTTACTGACTTCAGTGAGTTGTTTCAATCCGCCAAGCGTATCAAAAGCCTTGTCGATGTTGTTAACAATGCCGGGATATTCGATCGCGATTAATTTGCGATCCGGAATCACTAATTCCATATTTTACGGGGCACAAGATCAACTTTTACTTAATACATAAATTGCCATGCAAATTATTTTAAAAAACAAGCTTTGTTTGTAAGCAAAGAGCCTAAAATGATTAAAAGTAATTTTATATTTCCCAAAAGATTTATTCATTTAAATAGATCAAAATTTAACAAATGTAGCAATTTAAACTATATTTTTGTTAATTTAATTTCTTTAGATAATTCAAATTAAATTTATTTTTTAATAAATTAGCTTTCAATGCAAATTCTCACCTGCTGGTTACCTGAAGCTATTTATAAACAATAAAACCCGTGCAGGTCACATAAAATAGCAATGCATTTATTAATCACTCACTAATCATTCAATCGCTAATCATTCACTAATTAACAATGCAATCTTTAGTGAATTGATTAATCATTTTGGATTATTTAATAAAATGTATAATAGCAGTGATACAGAACACCTAACATCATCAGCGCCATTTCAAAACGGGATCTCAACAAATATAAAGAAGATAGTTAAGTTACCGGCTTCAACATCGCGGCCACAATCGCCACTAATCCTCTTTCTAACAACAACAACACTACTGCTGTTAGTGTGTTACTCTTTTATAGTTCCAACATCCGGACAACAGGTGTGGTCTAAATGGAAGAGGCAGCTACCCCCGTTGGAGTGGAATCCATGGCGCTCACCCCTCGAAAGATTCGATAAGTTCGTCTTCTCTAAGAAGATGGAAGCCTATGGGGAGTATGTGAAAGGTTTGTAGGGCTGTGGGTTATATAATCTATGATGATGTAACATTTAACTAAATTATGTCACGTGTTATAAAGATACATATATATCGGGTGAGGTGTTTGTGTGCACATCTTCATAGAAATATGCGCCATTTGTTATTTTAGAATTACACTCATAAATTTTCAATCCGTTATACTGAACATGAAAGCAGTGAAATCACGTTATCACCCATCATCAAGCTATTCAACAAAACTTACGACAACCGACAACGTCTTTAAACATGCGACATTTAACAACCACATCACTACGACATCGTCAGGCTTTTCGATCCCGATGTATCTGGAGGACACGTTCTGGGACGTGAACTGGGGGGAGTATCCACAGTGGCTACTGAGGAGGATCAACTGTTTCCTCGGCGTCCCCTACGCTGAACCGCCCATTGGCAGATACCGATTCCAAGTTGGTGCATTTTGAGTTTTCACAGCTGGTTGTTTCGGAAAACTAACTTTTACGAAATTAATAAATTTGTAATACTTGTTTAAGAAGCACACATATCTACACTCACACTAAACCATACGCACACATAAACACACATAAACACACATACGCATACATAACGGTAATTTTTACCCAACATAAGTTATAAAGATAAATTTAAAAATCTTTTCTTTGTACCAAAACTTCTGCTTCAAATCATTCTTGATCACACATAATCCTTCTTTCCTCTCTCTCCTCCTAGAAACCACTACCCCCACGATGGGTGGGCACCTGGGACGCCACCTACTACCGACCTGCCTGCCCCCAGCGACTGGAGATACTTCAGAGGGATATCCCCACAATGGAGAATGTTAACATCAGCGAGAATTGCCTCTACATGAACATTTTTGTACCTAACGTACGTGGTTGTTATAATAATAATAATTATTGTTATTAATTATGTTTAATTATAATTAATATTATTCATTATTATATTTATTAATTATAATTACATTTTTGCTTTGATATTTTCAATAAATTTGGCGTGTTGCTTGGGCTTTGTTTTTTCTTAATGTAAAAAAATTAAATTAACAGTTCGTTTAATAAACTGCAAAATTGACTTGATAATCTAATCATTCGTAACAGTTAACTTACACCAATTATTCAGTTGGTTAGTTAGTTGATTAACCAATTAATTAACTAATTAATCCTAAATCATGCCGACCTCGCAGAGAACTCAGCCTAACTTGGAGTACGATCAAACTATCTATCCCGTCATTGTCTACATCCATTCAGGTATTATTGCCATTATTATTATTATTATCATTATTATTATTGCCATTATTATTATTGTTGTTGTTGTTATTATTATAATCCAGGTAACTTCAGCACAGGTACGTCCCAATCCCAGCCGGGTCACGTGCTGGCCACCAGGGACGTTGTCGTCGTCACCTTCAACTACAGATTAGGGGCGCTAGGTGGCTTATGTTTATTATTATTATTATTTTAATTATTATTATTATTATTATAATTATTATTATCATCAATAGCGTAAGAAACAATCACTCTCGATTGATAAACATAATGTCAAGTTACCTGACAAACATTGCCCAGGTTACTTAACAACGGAAGACGAGCATGCTCCTGGAAACTTTGGGATGTGGGATCAGATCCAGGCTCTGGAATTTGTTAAGAGGAACATCATTGCGTTCAGAGGGGATCCCAATCGAATAACTTTGATGGGGGAGGGCGCGGGAGGCGTCAGCGTGGGTCTCCATCTTGTCTCCCCCTCAAGTTATAGGAATGGTAAACTTACGATGGTGTATGGAAAGTTGTGTGATTTACGATTTGTTTTTTCTCCATTTTATGCGTGGTTTCATGGTCGTGTGCTTGTTTTAATAATTGCATCGCGCCTTTAAATCGCCAGACATTATCAAATAAAAAATGCTATAGCATCCAACATTGTACACAATAATCATCACTTACTCAATCAATCAGTCATTCACTGATTCACTCACTCACTCACTCGCCGACAGCCTACTACAGTCAGGCAATAATGATGAGTGGCAACGATTTGAGCATGTTTGGCATGAGCAGACCATTCTATCGGCCACGCACGTACGCCAAGAAGTTGGCGGAGTTGGTTGGTTGCAACCAGGAAGGCTCTTACGCCATGATCAAATGCCTGAGAAACAATGCTTCCGTAACATGGCAGATGATCGTTCAGGCTCAACATCAGATTGCTCCAAATGTCAGTAACAGTTTTTCTTTCGAGTTTTTTAAATTTTTATAAATTTTTTCTAATTCGTAGTTATCGCTTTTTGTTTTTTTTTTCAAAAATGTTAATTTTGTTTACGTATTGTCAGTTTAATTGTAGACGTTATATGCGCGTGACTAAATTTAAATGTGGTAAATAAAATCTTCACATAGCACCTCATCCAACAACAAAATTCATCCAATCAGGACGGGGTGTTAGGGGCGGTGTGGGCTCCAATTCAAGATGGCCTCTTCTACTCCATCTCGACGGAGGGCTTCCTGCCTGAGTCCCCTGACGATTACCGCAGAGAGGGACAGTTCGCTAGGGTCCCCTGTATTATCGGCATCAATGCCCACGATGGCGCAGAGATTGCTAGTGCGTTATTATATTATTATTATTTTCAAATGTGTAATTTCATTTTATTTTTCATTTTATTCATTAAAATTTCTCGTGTTCAATCGAACCAGTAAAATCTAAAAATACCACTGATCACGCATCACTCATAATCAAACAATCGGAACATCACAAATTTAATATTAACTCGTCAAAACGTAGTAACGGTCGGTCGCTTATTACCACAAAATATGTGAACAACTCCCAAGCAACTCGCCACAACCTGACTGACCACAGATTGGACAGCAAATGGTCTGCAGGGTGGCATAACGGTCAGTAGATTCCGGGCTTTCCTCGACGAAATCGTCTACAAGTGGAAGATAATCGACATATACCGGGAGAGAGCCAGAGATGCTATCGAGTTTCAATATACACACTGGCCCGACCCGACGAATACAAGTGCCAGAGGAATGGAGTATTTGAATGTTCGTTTGTTTTTTAGTCGTTGTTTTTGTTTTGGGATGTCATTCGTTTGATCTGATTTTAATTTTTTATAAGCGTGATTCATGTTTTGCAAGTTCATTTGCTTTTCGATTTATTAAATTTCATTAAGTTCCTTTCTATATTAAGAATTGCGCTTTGTTTAATATACAATTAACTCCGAATGTTACATCAATGCACCTTTTACGCATAATAATCTGCCGACAAAGCATTCATTGATTGAACATTTGAGTAAAGGCACGGCGAACTTAAAAAATGTTCCTATCAGACATTCAAATAGCCCATCTTTTTTACTCAACATTATTCCGTTTGCCTTCTTCAGTTTATCATACTTCTATTTGTCATTTTGCTTTATGCTGTAACAGAGTGTAAATTTTTTTAAAGAATAAAAAACCTTTCAAACACCAGATGATAACTGACCTCAACTACGGAATTGGGATGGACACGATCGTGAAGCAGCAGTCAGACTTCTCTCCGACGTACATGTACGTATTCAACTGGAAGTCCTGGAACGATTGGCTACCCTGGTATATGGGTCAGTTGTTACATCTTTATTCGTTATTTTCAACATGAAAATTTGGATTTATTATTCTCATTTTTATTTGTCAAAGATAAAAACGAGTTAAAGAGATAAAAAGATTTTTTAAATTACGCTAACGTATGTTAAATAATTGTACTTTTACCCCAAATAACGAACAACGTACACCAATTACGTTTATTGCATGAAGAAAGCAATTCATCAGATTTGTTACGGATACAGATAATAATCTCACTAACACAATTTTCCTGATTTATATACAAACTTTTAAAAGATATCAATATAATTATTTACCTTATCGTCGCATCATTTTATGATTAATATCATTTCGTCGAGTCAGAGCCTGTTCCTGGGTCTCCACACCTCAAAATCCGGGGCCTGATGAATATTTTATAAAACTAAACACAACAGGAGTGTCTCACTCGGCCGCCATTCAGTACGTTCTGGGCTTCCCATTCATGAACGAAACAATTTTGAATGAAACTGAGTTAGTGCCAAGGCAGTACTTTGATTATGACGACAGAAACATCAGCGATTTCATGATGTACATGTGGAGCTCTTTCGCTATATACGGGTTAAGCGTCGCTAAGTTTTTTAAAGAAGTTTCTTCGTCATCGTTGACGTCATTATTTCGATGTTTTTAATCCCCTACGTCATCGTCGGCACTTTTATTTTGTTGATTCTCAGTTTATTGTAAACATTTTATTAAAATATTTGACTGGCTCTCTAATAACGATATTACAATCTAGTGATCCCACCCCCAACATAACTCGAAACGTAACCTGGGAACCTTTCAACCAGTACAACTTCACTTACCTGGAGATTAGGTGGTACGCACATCTCTGGTTCAGATACAGACAGTCTCAGTACGGTTTTTGGTCTGAATACTTCCCCAGAATGGCAAAACAGGATTACTGTTAGATTTTTTGTTATGCTTCTTTCATTGCAAATGTATAACACTGGTGACAATTTTTCAACAGTCTACCCGACAGCGACACCGACTCCGGCTGCCTACGAATACGTCGTGGCAACCGGCTGCATCGGATCACTGCTGGTTCTCCTTCTCGGAGCAGTTGCCATCGTCCTGTATCTCATGTGGGTGCAGCATGTGACGGCCAAGAACGCCAGATACCGACACAGTCCCTACCAATCGTCGTCTACCCGCAGCATCGTTTCAAGAAGCAGGGCGCAAGCAACTGCAGCCGCCTCCACGTCTGCTGGTATAGAAATTTTAGATACGAGTAAAATCGGTTCTCTTTACGATCCTAGTTTTACGAGTAGTTCTTCTAACGTTTCCAAAATGACAGCTGCTCAATATTCCGAATATTGTAAAAGGACGGGTCCGATTGGACACAGCGTTGTTTAATTTTTCTACTACTTTTTAATGTTTTTAGTGATAGATTTTTTTAAATTATACACTCATATATAAAGTACGTCGTTAGATGTAGCGATGTAAGTATATTGCGGGTGGTAGAGTTACAAATTAGTAATGAAAATTAGGTGATAATGAAAAAACGAAATAAAAAACGGAGACTCGAACGTCAACATTTGTAAGATCGGTTAAAATACGTATGTACACATACGTGTAATACAAACACTTACACATACGTAAATACACAAACATGTGCACACACCTTATTATATAATATAGATATAGATATATATATATAATATAGATACTAAATAAAGAAATTCTCGATCATTAGTGTTGTCATGGGATGCATGAATTGAATTTCTTTGCTATGGATCACATTGATAACAGTATTTATTTATAAAAAAAGGAAAAGTAATAAAAAAAAGTCGTTCGAGTTCCTAATTTGAATATAAGGTGGGTATTGATGATTTGTGTGTGATTTTTATATATATTTATATTACATATTATGCATGATGGTCATGTCTCATGTGGTCGTAACAGTTTGTGGTAGCTTAATCTAGATTAAGCTACCACAAACTTAATACTAAATGACGTTCGTTGTGCTTTTGAATACAAATTAAACAACTTTTAGGGTTTTCAAAAATATTTTAAAAACTATGCCGAACAATGCCTAAAATTAGGAAACTTTGTTACGTTTAAATACCCCTTTTAAAAATCTGTTCTCTTTTAAAAGTAAACTCGTTGGGTAATGTTTAAAATTAAAACTAAGTAAAAAACAAATAGTTAATTGAAGTAATACGTAAACGAATGCAATTAACCAAAACGAATAAATTTTAAATAAATTTAAATAATTAATTATTTAAAATTTTGAAGAAACTAAGAAATATTACTAGAGTTTTAATTGAAAATCCACCAAATATGATACATTGCTGCTAATCACACACAACTGCCAGTGAAAACACATTTTTTGATCTAACTAGTTTTCCCGCCGATTAGTGTACTTTTTGCAAGATTTTGTTTTAATTAAAATATTTCTCCGTATTAAAAACTTTCCAATTGTGCGATTTAAACTTCAAAATAACATATTCGGTCTTTTCTAATATTTTTAATCGTCAATATTTGCTGACGTGTTCTTAACTTGAAAATTCCTTCCTAATCGTAATTCCTAATCAGTAATCGGCCTCCTCTTAACTTAATTAATAAAATGGCCAAAGTGAACATTTGTAATGTCGTCGTAAAGGATAACCCCTGCCCCTTCATGCATCCTTTCCAGTTCGAAATTACTTTTGAGTGCTTAGACGGATTGGATGAAGGTGGTAAAGTAAAAATATTTTAGCTTTTTTCTAATTGTTTTCATTTCTTTTTTCTCAAATTTAATTGATTAATAAATATAAATAATAATTGAATTTTATTTATTTATTTCATTTCCTGTTTTTATGTCAATAATCGTTTGGTTTAAATTAAACGTTAAAATAAGAATACAATATTTTTAAATCATATAATTATAATTTATTTGTTACAATACTAATTAATATAAAAAACAAGTTAATATAAAAAACAAGTTAATATAAAAAACAAGTTAATATAAAAAACAAGTTAATGTAAAAAACAAGTTAATATAAAAAACAAGTTAATATAAAAAACAAGTTAATATAAAAAACAAGTTAATATAAAAAACAAGTTGAATTCTCTTATTCTAATTATTTTAATTTTAAATAATTAGTCATAAAATAATAATATTATGATTAATTTCTCCAAAAAAGACCTTGAATGGAAGATAATTTATGTTGGGTCAGCGGAGAGTGAGGAATACGATCAGATTCTGGATACAGTACTCGTTGGACCTCTAATTGGTGGCAAACATATGTTTGTTTTTGAGGTTTTTCTCAATTTTTTCTCTTTTTTTTTATTAAACATGTCTGTTATTAATGAGTTATTTGATTAAATATTTTCTTAAGAAGTTGAATAATATTCTTAATTTCTAATTTGTAACTAATTTTTAATAATTTACAAGAGTATACCAAATTAAATTTGCTTAAAAATTGAATTTCGTAATAATGTTAAAATTTCTTTGTGTGCACATCTCTCAAATGAATAATTACTCACACATCCTCAGGCCGACCCACCCGATGCAACAAAAATCCCCAAAGAAGATGTTGTCGGTGTGACTGTCATCCTACTGACGTGCCTCTACAAGAAAGCAGAATTTATCAGAGTCGGTTACTACGTCAATAACGAATACACCGATCCCGAACTGAAAGAGAACCCACCGGCTGAACCTGATTTTTCTAAGGTTTTAGTGATGCACTTATTTTAAAATTTCATTTGTATTTGTGTCTACTCAAATATTATCTGTAAGATTTTTAATAGTTATGTACATTCTTTTATACGATTAGTTGAATTGATTGCATGATTTATATGCAATTTTGAATTTAAATTCTTATTTGCTTTGGTAGTTCTTTGAAATATTTAAAAATATCAAAAGTATTTTTGTTTTTTAAATGGCATACAATTATTTTTCATATCGGTCAATCAGTAATTTATAAAAATATTGAAAACTTCTAACATACTTTATTAAACGTACCTAATTAATTAATTAATTACTAATGACTTTTTAATTATTAATGATTATTAATAATTATTAATTATTAAAAACTGAACCAGTTACAGCGCAACATTTTGGCGACCTGCCCTCGAGTGACAAGATTTAAAATTAACTGGGGGGACGAGGAGGTGAACGTAGGCAACGGTATCGACCAGCTGTCTCTCAGCTCTCAGAACAGTTTTGGTGGCACCAACATTTTTGGCAGCAACAACGTTTTTGGCAGCAGCAGTAACAACTTCGGTAGCAGCAGTTTTGGTAGCGACCACAACCACGCCGGTGGTAGTAATGGAAATGGAGTCTTGCAGAACTCTTTTGAGGAAGATCTATACGAGTCAGACAGTAGGATGTTGGATATTCCTACATGCGATCTAAGTAATCACGAGTTTGAAAATAGTAACAATGATATGATGTTTGATTGATTGAGTTGTTGGTTCGCTGATTGTATGATTGATTGAATGATTGATTGATTGCTGATTAACTAACTGGCTGACTGGAGGTTTGATTGATTAAATGACCGTTGATGTCAAAAATGTTGTTGATTGCCTGGTTGATTGATTGTTTAATTTAATTAGTTGATTTATTGATGGTTAATCTGCATTTGAGATTTCATTTTCAAACAAATATTCTTCCATCCTATTTTGGTTTGCCAACTAAATGTTAGAAATATGAAAGAAAATGATAATTGTCATGCTGAATTTTGTGCAAAAATCCAAACGTGTGGAAAGTCGTTTTTGGAATGAAATGCTGAGGCTTAGAATGCTTTAACAATTTGTTAAAGAGGCATACCTATCTTTTTTTGCCAATTCATTCAGTCATTCTAAGTTAATTTCACTATTTCTTTTTAAATCATATATATATATATATATATATATATATATAAGCTAAATTTCATTTCAAACAATTTATAATTTGGGAAATATCTCTTATCACATAAAATAAGTTTAATTAAACAAAGTTTGATTCAGACAACGTTGCTGATTATGTGTGTTTGTGTGTGTTTTTACAATTCAGTTCGTTTATAATTAAATATTTAATGCACAAGCAATGCTAAATTACCCAGACTATATAATTCGTCATTTCTACTATTCACGATCTATTTGCTTGTTTTTATCTATATCTTTTTTACGTTCACCTAGTTAACTGGACATGAAACAAGAGGCACATTGCTATCGTTAAAAATATTTTTATCATTAATATTATTTTGGGTATTTATTTTTTTTATTATTGGTTTTATTATTTCTATTATTAAGTTTCTTTTTCTTATTATAGCAGATTACGCAGAGAAGTGGTGACGAATAACGCTATCGTAAACTTACTTTTACATTTTTAAAAATTTCTATCAAACTTTTCAAAATAATTTCGTGGTAGTTTTTATTCAAAATCGTAAATGAAAAATAATCACTGGACAACATTCAAACTTACTTTTAATCTTATTTAATTAGGCTAAAAAAATAACCGGAACAAAATTGTGAATGCTTGAGATCAAACGCATTTCGAGACCAATCCGGCCGGTCCCTCCCCTAGCGACGTATCGTCGATGGCGTGGGTCTTGACGGGATAAAATCCTGTTTCTCCTGACGGAATTTTGAAGGCTTGCAGTCGGGATTCGTAAGTTTTCATCAGATCATTGTGCGCCTGTAAATGTGTTTGTATGCCTGTGTTTATGTGTATCTTTGTATCCAGTATTTACCTACCTTACAGGCTCGAGCCAGTTCAAACTTCAAGTCCTTTATTGTGGCATTCTTAAAAGCAAGTACGTCCTAGAGTTGGAATAATTTTCAAAAATTTTTGATGTTTGTTTCTAAGAATATTTTAATTTTTACAAAGGTGCGATGTGATGGTTAAAGATGTCCGGATTCGAAGCAAAAAAGATCCTTGTTTAACGTGCGTGAGAATGTTTGATGCATTTGTTCGGACACTTCAACTGTCCGTGAGTCGTTGTTGTTGACACTTCTAAGTGACGCAATAATGAAGAATCAAATAATAATTTACACAATTGCGTTTATTGCAATTATAAAGAATTAATGTTGACTGACATCAATTGATTTGCTGAGGATCTGCATGGATCCAACATCGAGGTTGAACTTCTTGATGGTCTCGTGAAGTTGCACACATTTGCTCTCCAGCTCCCTCTCCATGTTCACCATCTTGATCTCCAGCAGGTTGTTCTTCATCATCAACCTCTGAGACACTTCTTGAATGGCGGCCACGAATTTCGCATACAACTCGTTTCTTTCTTCCTTCAACTGTGTCGAGATTTTTGATGGTTACGTGAGCGATGGACAGTTGAACAACGACAGGACTGTTTCATCCGTTTGTGAAATGGTAAAATTTATTGAAAATAATCTGAGTGCAAACCAACATTCTCCATCATCTCCGTGATGACTTCAATCTCCTTGTCTTGTCTCTTCAGCACTACCTCCTGAGCTTGCAATCTATGCTCTTTATCCTGTTCAAATTGAAATTTAACGTAGAAGTTTCATAAAAGACGGAACATGTTGAAACATGAATTAGGAAGAAAGGTTTAAGTGAAAGGGAAATAAAAATAAAACCTTTATAGCTAGTTTGACGTGATTGAGTCTTCTCAATTTAGTAGCATTCTCTTTCATCACTTTATTCTGCTCCTCCAATTTTTCTGTCTGCTGTCTGTTCTCGGTTACAAACTCAGACACCTTATGCTCCAGTAGTTCATCCTTTTTGCGAAGAGTTTCACATTCTTGCTACAAATTATTTCAATTTTTTTTATTTTCAAATTTATTGTTGATTTTTAAAACAAAGTAGAACGTCTGCTAACTTTTAATCCGTTGATTAGGTTGATGCCGTTAAGTGTGATGTCGTTGTAATAGTTCTTCATGTCCTTGTATAGTCGGTCGTGCGTCTGCATCAGGCTGAAAATTTCGAAATTTTTTCTCTCTTCAACTTCATGCAACTCATTTCGAAACTTCAAATCGTTCTCGGCTTCCCGCGTGCTGGCCTTCAGCTTGTACTTGTTCTCCAGGTCTTGCAAACGTCGCTCACAATTCATTTTCAAGTCTGCCATATCGTCCGCGTGTTTCTTTAGGAAAAATCAACGCGATACAAAAACTTTGCTAAATTGATCCAACATTAAATGAAATTTAAACTTTAAAATTTCATTCATTCATGCGCCATTTTGACTGACCAGTTTGAGATTTTTTAAACTCTGTTCATGGAGACCCTGGTCACTTCTCATCTTCACTCTCAAGTTTCTCATTTCGTTCATCAGTTCGGTCAGCTCGAGTTTCGTGTCGTCTTGCACAGATTTGATGGACTGCAAGTTTTCGCTGGTGGATTCTTCCAGTCTCTTCTGGTTCTCAAACATCAAGTGCTTTATTTTCTGCTTCAGTATCTGAAATCGTAAACATCGTTTCCTTTGTTCAAATAACTTAAGATATAATTAATACTGAAAAATAAAATGATATGTAACTTAAATCAGATATTGTTGTGTGAAAATATATTATTAAAACAGTAAAAATATTTGCTGACTTCAAGTTCTGAATTATGTCTTGATTGCAACTTCTCCATTTCAAAGGTGAGATTTCTATTTTTCACATTCTTCTCGGCTAACTTATCTTTAAGAATTTCCAAGGCTGCTGCCATCTGATCACGTTCTTGTTGGAATACATTGCGTTCCTGGCGCTCCGTGTTCAGTTCGTTGCGAATTCTACGCAAATGTTCCAATAACTAAGAGAGGCAAATGTGGTTTTAAAAAAAAGGCTGCGATGTTACTAGTTCATTTTACTCAAATTGCTAAAATATTTAGAGTAAATAATTCAAATAATATTAATAAATGATTACATAATTAAATTCGATGAAACGAAATGAATCAGAAGATGCGTTACTGACCTGGACGGGATTCATGCTGGATGGTGGCAGGCCATCGACAACCCCCTTCTTTCCTTTCCCCTTCTTGCCTTTGTCCTTACTCTTTCCGGACTGTTTGAATGTTTGAAGCATTATTTAAATTTAAAAATTTTAAAATGTTGTATTTCAATTTGTTAATCATCACATACCATTTTTATTTTATATTCAAAAATTAAATTAAAGATAGCGTTTGAAAGAGATAAAATTTATTCAGAATATCTCTGAGAATCTGTTGAGATTAATTTTTTAAACTTTACAAAAAACTACAAATTAAACAAAACGCTACCAGAACGCTTTGTTATAAAAAAAAATCGTTTATTTATTACATTCGAAAACAATGACGTCGAGTACTTAGATCCAAAGACGAAATATGTTTCGCACGAAAACTTACATTTTTCAAAACGGTTTCGCCTTAAACCTCTACCGCATAACGATGCCTTTTGGCATCATTACTTCCATGCTTCCTTATAAACTTTACGATGCTAAACGGCAGCAATATGCATATCTCTAGGATACTAATTACCATAGAGATTCAAAATTTAGTAACTATTCAGTTATCTATGTTTTTGATCTATTTCTAATTCTTCTGGAAATAACCTGCCAAAATAAACAATCTTCGAGTTTTTTAGATATTTTCAATAATTACCGCAATTATATCTAAGTAATTATTAATTTATGATCAGGTATTAAAGGAAGCCAAAACGATGAAGAGAATTGATTTCTGCATCAGCAACCTGACGAGCCTAAGGGAGGAAGCCAGGGCCACTGAAGAACCGGAATCACAAACATCACCACCACGGCAACAAGAGAAGAGTAGTCGTAAACGTGATACAGGAACGAATACGACTAAGAGAAACACGTGTGAAATTGGAGTCAACACCGCAAACATACGATATACGGTAGATGCGGAGACGAACACAACGCATAGAGAGACATGTGATGTGGCAATAGAAAGCATGAACATACCAGACAAACCGCACACAAGGGATGTAACAATGGACACCACACACATTGAGACCTGTGATACGGGCGTGGATACTAGGGATATACATATGGAACAGATACAGAACAAGGAACATGATACTTAAACGGAACCCGATTGGGGGGATGAACCTACAGACCAGCAACTGGAAGATATAAACAACGCTAACCAGATAGCACAGGAGGCTACGAGGATGGAAGCCAATACACAAGGAGGACAGACGTTGAGGAAGACAAGACGAATGACAACAATCAGGGGAAAGAAGATGTGTCACTAAGACAATGCACAATGGATAACTTCTTCCACCTGACACAAGAAGTCATAGAGGAATTAAATGGGGAGGATATGATGCCTGAAGGGGAGACATCAAATTACATCCCACCTACCACCAGAGCAGCGATGATGGGAAGGAGACCGATCCCCACCAGCTCCATTGGAAGAAAAACAAAAGAAGGCAACAACACCATAATCTTTAGTTGCTTTAAAAGAGTTGATGAACTGAAAAAGAGTCAACTTCTCACTGGAAAAAGAGGAAAAAGATACCAAAACGATAGATGGATATCTTGTGCATAAAAATATCATAATAAACACTGCACCCAAAGAACCAAATAGACAAATGACAATGGATATGGTAAGGAACATCTTACCATACCAAGATAGCAGCTGCAACATTGAGAATATAAAGAGGGATCCACAGGCCCTTATAAAATCATTCATGAGGAGACAAACAATATCTAACAATGCCAGCAAAAACGAGGAAAACTGCGCCTGCATAGGGACCTTTATGGAAGCGTATCGCAAAAATCAATGCACAATGTTTGCTCAAAAAAACATATAAAGAGAACGCGTCCGCAGGAGGAGCGTAACTGCATGAATGTTATAAATATATCAAGCTACCGACTGACGGAAGACCAGGAAAGCCTGTTAAGCAAAGGATTGGGTTTCATTTGCACCCCTAGGAACATTAAGATGTCGGAGGTGACATATGGTATTGATAAACTGATCAGAGATGTAAAAATAAGAGATTATTTTGAAAACAACAAGGGGCCGAGCAGGGAACAACCGTACCTACCGGACTACAAGAAATTTTTCAAATCCGGATGGAACCCGCCTAAATCAAAATTATCGAACGACTGCATAGCAACGGTAGAAGATATAACACAAATAAAAGAGGAAGTGATAAGAAGAACGGGAGATGAATATATTAGAACGAATCTGAAGAAATCAAATATAAATAGAAAAGAAAGGAGGGCACTAAAGGAATTAAGAGACAACAAGGATATCGTTATTAGAAAAGCAGACAAAGGCAATGTATTTGTTATAATGGACAAAATAAACAAGATCAAAGAGGCGGAAGGCCAGTTGAATGATGAATCATTCTACAAGAAGATTGATCAGCCAATAAACAACCAGTGGGACGTCATGAACCTACTACTTAAATACAAGGCTGTGAAAATAATTAATAAGAAGATGCTAGTTGATCTCTCACCACCCATAGCTCCAAGAACGAGATACTTCTATACACTCCCGAAGATTCATAAGGAAAAGAAAGATTGAATTGATGAACGGACACCCAAGGGAAGACCAATCATCAGCGACATCAACTCAATCAATCAACCCCTATCTGAGTTTGTGGAGATACAGTTAAAACAAATAACTAAGTTCCTGAAGTACGTGGTGAAGGACACACGGATGTTCGTGAAAAAGATATCCACGACATTCACAAACAGCAAACAGATCCTAGTCACAGCGAATATTGCAAGCCTCATACAAACATGAGAAACCAGAGATCAATAACTGTAACCAGGGAAGCCCTGATGAAATACATGCCAAGAAATAAATACAACAACCTCACGGTGGAATCTCTAGGATTAATACTAGGAAGCCATGATTTTGTATTCAATAACCAACACTATCTTCAAGTTAATGGATGCGCAATGGGGAAAATATTTTCACCAACACTGGCAAACATTTACTTGGATGAATTGGATGCAACAATCAACAACGAGTTCCGTGGGGTGGTAAAGTATTACAGGTACATAGACGATATACTCTTCGTATTCATTGGACCGACCGAGGAATTAGAAAGATTAATTGAAAGAGCAAACAACATCATAGAGGGCATAAAGATCAATTTCAAATATGACACAAAAGAAGTGGAATTCCTGGACGTGACTGTGTATAAAAACATACCGGATGCACCATTCCTACTAACGAAACCATACTTCAAAATCACCAATACGTTTGATTTACTGCACCATCACTCCTTCCATCCGCCACATATATTTAAATCCATTATCTGTTCTCAATTTCTTAGATATGCAAGTATCTCCTCGGAATTCATACAATTCAAGCTTCATGCTTCAAACTTATCAATAAGTAAAGGGCAATAAAGTTAGTTCTGTTTGAAAGAAACCTAGCTAACGAAAATAGTCTTAAAAAATAAAAATTAACAACTTTGGTGGAAAGAAGAAAAAGAGAAGATTTGATTCAGTTGTTTAAAATCATGCATAATTTGGACAAAGTTTATTTAAATAATTGTTTTAGCATAGTCAAAACCAAAACGCGAGGTCACTGATTGAAATATTTTAAAAAGTTAACAGAACATAGATGCAGAGAGAATTACTTATTCAATAGAGTCGCAAATACTTGGAACTCATTACCAAATGAACTTGTTGAGGCACAATCAATGAACAAATTTCAAGCAGGCATTGATTGTTGGATGAACAACAATCAATCAACAAAACAACTGTGCTAGCTTGCCTGACAGCTTACTCTCTGGATAACCTCCAGAACAGCATTACTATTACTACTACAACTACTACTAAATATAATATTGTTATAGGGACATCCCTAAAAAAAAAGAACACTCGGTTTCCAACTTTACGAACGTAGATAAGTATTAATTTAGTTTCGAAAAATAAACAAATAAATCGATTTTAAATACTTTTTACTTTTCAAGAATTTTGTTAAATAAAGTTATTAAAGTTTAACTTAGTTATTTTTTGCGTTGTCAATATATAAGGTCACAACAATTGGCGCAGTCGACAGGATATTTTTTTTTTCAAATATGGCTGAACTGAAAATTTTTCTGGAAGGATTTTCGAAGCAAATGGAGACACTGGTCAAATCAATAGTTCAAAGTTCGACAACCGTTCCCACTTTCGAAGCCTTTTGTTCAAAAAAAGAGCTTTGGACTGACTACTTATCTCGTTTTCAAACGTTCGTTTCTGCCAATTCAGTCCCGAACTCAAAAATTGCTCAAGTTTTTCTGACGAATCAATCTCCAGAAATTTACAAGCTTCTTCAAGTCGCGGCATCTCAACTTTCTCCTCCACGTGATGTCAACGAGTTACAAATGAATGATATTTCACAAACAATGGAGATAAATTTCAGTCCCAAGCACTTTATTGTCAGGGAAAGATGTAAGTTCTGGAATGAAATTTCTAGAAAACCAGGTGAAACACTACAAGAACTTGCATCTAGAATTCGTCAAGCAGCAAGTACATGTGATTTTTCAAAAATAAATGATCCTTTAGATGAAGCACTTAGAACAAAATTCATTTGCTCTGTAAATAACGAAGCTGTTCTTAAGTCTCTTTTCAAAGTTCCAGAAGATGAATTAACATTCTACAGAGCAATAGAACTAGCTACAGAAGTTGAAGAAGCCTCTAAAGTCGCTAAAGCAACTGTACATGGCTCTCCAGAAGAAAAAGCAGAATTTGTTTCTAAAGTTTCTAGAAGTCCTACTAACAAATCAAAAGAAAAAGCAGTTCTTTTCAATAAAAAACATGAAAATTTCAAATTTCCTTTTTCAAAAGGCACCTGTCCTAGATGTGGAAACAAAGGTCACCATGCCAGAGATTGTAGATACATAAATACAAAGTGCAATTTTTGTCAAAAGACTGGTCATCTTGAAAAAGTTTGCTTAAAAAAAAAGTTTCAACAAAACAGTTCAGTTAGAATTATACATTCTATTCCTGGAAATACACCTCTTCTTCAAAAGTTACTCTTCAAGAATACTGAACATTTTTTTGAATTAGATAGTGGAGCAAGAGATAGTTTTTGTTCTTTAGAAGTTTGGCAAAAATGGGGTCGACCCAAACTCCATTCTAATTCTACAAGATTTATTTCAGCAACTGGGGACAAAATCCCAGTCATTGGAGTTTGTCAGGTTTCAACTTCTATTCCAGAATCAAATGATAAAAAAATTGTAGAATTCAATGTTACAAAACTACCTAACCTAAATCTTGTAGGCAGAAAAGCAATTCTTGATCTAGAAATTGATGTAACAGCAGCTTTGAATAAACAAGTTTTTCAAATTAAAGAAAGTTCAACTGAATTCAAAGTTTTCATCTGTTGTCAACAAATTTGTGAATATTTTAAAGAATGTTTTGAACCAGGACTTGGATGTTTGCAAAATTTTGAATTGGAAGTTAAGTTCAAACCAGATTCAAATCCAGTTTTCTGTAAAGCTCGAACAGTGCCATTTTCATTTCAAGAGGATCTCAATAATACATTAGATGCTGGTATTAAAAAAGGCATCTGGATTCCAGTAGATTTCAATGACTATGGAACACCCATAGTACCCATAAAAAAACGATTAAATCCAGGAGAGGAAAAAGTAAAATTTCGAATTTGTGGGGATTACTCAGTTACTGTGAACCCCCAGCTGGAACCACATCAACATCCAATGCCACTTCCTGAAGACTTGATACAAAAACTTGGAGGAAGTCGTTACTTTAGCAAAATAGATCTTGCTGATGCTTTCAATCAAATAAAACTTGCTCCAAACAGTCAAAGAAAACTTGCATTAAGCACACATAGAGGAGTTTTACTTCAAACCAGACTTCCGTTTGGTATTATTTCAGCTCCAGGCTACTTCCAAGAAATCATGGATAGACTAACTTGTGATCTGAAAGGAGTCGCAGTTTATCTAGATGATATTCTTGTTGGAGGATCCAGTGTTGATGAGCACAATAAGAATTTAAGATCTCTTCTTCAACGCCTTCGTGATAAAGGTCTGAAATGCAACAAGAAGAAATGTGTTTTTGGACAAACTTCAATTGAATAGGGTCACATACTTTCAGGAGAAGGTGTTAATAAAGGAAAGAATGTTGACGCCTTGTTTAAAATGCCACACCCTACTAATATATCAACATTACGATCATTTCTGGGTTCTGTTCAATTTTATCACAAGTTTATCCCTAATCTTGCAACGATTGTTGAACCTCTGACATGTCTTACAAGAAAAGATACACCCTGGAAATGGACTTCAAAGCAAGAACTAACTTTTCAAAAGATTAAAAAAATTCTTATGAAAGACGTCAAGTTGGCACATTTCGACAAGTCGCTTCCATTGGGTATTTCTTGTGACGCGTCAGAAGTTGGATTGGGGGTAGTTCTGTTTCACAGGTATCCTGATGGGGAGGAACGACCATTATTCAATGTTTCAAAAACACTTACTGAATCCCAACGTCGGTACAGTCAAATTCACAAGGAAGCACTAGCTATAATATATGGGTTACACAAATTTCACCAATATCTCTATGGACGAAAATTCATTCTGGTCACTGATCACAAACCGTTGTTGGCTCTTTTCAATCCTTCAAAAGGAACACCAGTGATAGTAGCAAATCGTTTGGCTCGCTGGGCCCTGATGCTTCATCAATACGACTATTCAATTGAATATAGAAAATCAACAGATCATGGAAATGCAGATTCACTTAGCAGATTGCCACAAGGTGAAGATCCAGACTTTGATTTTCAAGAAAAAGATGAAGATGAATTTACAGTGTGCACAATAAAAATGATTAGTCAACAACTTATACCGACAGATGCTCAGACTCTGGCAAAAGAATCTCGTAAAGATCCCATCATTTCAACTGTTTGTCGATATGTCAAAGAAGGCTGGCCTCATTCGATTAAACAAGAACAAGTTCAACATTTCCAGAAGTTGAAAGACACACTGACTACACAGAGTGATTGTTTAGTTCTTGGAAATAGAATTGTTATTCCACACAAGATTCAAGATAAAGTTCTTCAACTGCTACATCTGGGTCATTTTGGGATGAGAAAAATGAAACAGTTAGCCCGATCAGTTGTATATTGGCCGGGCATTGACCACCACATCGAGGAACTATGCCGAAATTGTGAATCATGCGCTGCTCATCAGAACAGTCCACCAAAATATCCAAACCACCCATGGATACTTCCCGAAAAGCCATGGAGTCGCATCCATATTGATCATGCAATCAATTTTTTGGGGAATAATTGGTTAATTGTTGTGGACAGTTATTCTAAATATCCATGCATTCACATAACTTCAAATGTTACAGCAAAAGCTACAATGAATTTACTAGAAGAGGATTTTGCACATTTTGGTTATCCTCATTCGATTGTTTCTGATAATGCTCCTGCATTCATTTCCGAAGAATTTCAAGATTGGCTCAGAGAAAGAGGAATTATACATCTTACTGGTGCGCCATATCATCCAGCTTCAAACGGTCAAGCAGAAAGATTCGTACAAACTTTCAAGAATTCATTGAGAAAATCTCAGCTTCCACCCAAACAAGCCTTACAGGAATTTTTGATTCAATACCGAAGAACACCTTTGGAGTCAGGTTATTCTCCAAGTGAGTTGTTGAACGGAAGACAGATTCGAGTTAAACTGGATGCTTCGTTACCGTCTGCCCCTCACATTGCCCAATACAGACAGATGAAGCAAAACTCTCAAAGACAAGTTCCAACTCGGAAATCCGTAAAATACACAACAGGTTCTCCATGTTACGTACAATATAATGGTCCTCTTAGAGATCGAACTCCAAGATGATTTCTGCTATAGTTCATCGTGTCTTAGGAGCACGAAATGTTCTAGTACACATTGTACCTAATGGTCCAATATGGAAGCGGCACATGGAACAATTGAGGCCTCGCTATGGTGTAGACCTTGATTTAGATCCGGGAGACATTCCATCATCAAGTCATTCCACTACCACTGCTCAACCTCCAGTATCAAAAGTACAAACTAAAAAAAGCCCAACTCGAATTCAATCTACACCTATTCCAGATTTTGCCTCAGTTGATCCTATACTACCTCGACGATCTGAAAGAATTAGGGAAAAGATGCTACACGAACCACAAAGACCCTGATTTTCTGGAAGGATTTTCTTCGCCAAAAGACTCCGCAGAGTTTTTGGCTAGTGGGAAGATATAGGGACATCCCTAAAAAAAAAGAACACTCGGTTTCCAACTTTACGAACGAAGATAAGTATTAATTTAGTTTCGAAAAATAAACAAATAAATCGATTTTAAATACTTTTTACTTTTCAAGAATTTTGTTAAATAAAGTTATTAAAGTTTAACTTAGTTATTTTTTGCGTTGTCAATATATAAGGTCACAACAATTGTATTTATCTATTTTATATGTTTACTTTATTATATGAAATTAACTGAATTTGTTCACGTACAAATGTCCACCAGTTCACTAATACAACTGAACGGGTGCTTCCGATATATTGCAGGACACTCACATCCATTCCACGTTCACCTACACCTTTTCCACAAATTCAACCAACTCACTCCAACTCATTTACACTTTGTCTTGCTGGAAACAAAGCAAATTATCAACAAAGGATCAAATTCACTTTGGTTTCTTATTTGACGCATAGACGTTGATTATAACTTTGCGCATATTACAAAGAGGTTTCCCAATATATATAAATATGCGACTACTTCATTCTTCAAATCATATCCGTTCAACCTCCTCCCTCAAATTTTCCAATCAGTTGTTTAACAAACATCGAGCAAAATGAACGCGCATGAAGATAAAATAATTGATGCTGCGGTAAAAATCGGTTGTGACATCGTTAATATGCTATTAACGAATTGGGCGGTGGGGGATTCGTGCGATAGAAGGAACAGCTACATTAAGAGCCTCGTCAATTCATTTTTCTTTTACAAATTCTCTGAAGAAGATGTAGCAAAAATTTCGATGTTCCTATCAACGCCACACGGTAAAAATGCTGATCAGTGGATGGATCCAATAAAAAAACTGTCAGATGACGAACAATACTTCCTCGTGATCGACCTTCAAAACATCTTTTACGCGCAATTGAGCAGTTACAAACTAACAGTTGACTACCCGTTCACCGTTGAACATTTCGATGGCGTCATTTCTCACAGAGATACATTCTACCGAGACCTCCCCAACAGCCGATCTTACATTTTACCATATTTCGAAAATAAATTTATAACATCAACATGTGCAATATGTCTCGATACTTTCGTAAAAGGAGCATATGTACACAAATTGCATTGTGGTCACCCATATCATGAAAGGTGTATACAAAAATGGAAGAAACAGAGAACCACCTGTCCAACATGCCGATTTGAAATGCGGGATGAATTCAGTGCAAGAAGCGTCATTACCATTGAAAAGAAAGAAAACGACAGACAATTTGTTCAGATTGAGATTCTCACTGAAGGTGTTCCTAAATAATCTTTGACATTGTTTTCAAAGATGTTTCTAAATATTTCCTGTACCTCGTTTATCTTTTAGTATTTTCTTAATTATTTGATATAGTGATCAACAATAAACTATTTTATTGTAGCTTTCAAACAAATTGTTATACAAAAAATGTGATTGTTATTTATTCAAGGAGAATTATAAAAAGTATAAAAATGGAGTAGTGAAAAGTGCGTTACGTGTTAAAAAATAGTTCATCTATTTTTTCTTTTTGACATGCACAAAGTTAAATTTGCGTAAAATTGTTAATTATTAATTATAAAATCAAAAAATTATCATAATTTGAATCTTTATTTTAAATTTTTTTACTTTCAAGATATTTATTACCTTGGTTGAAGAAAGTTTGAAATCATCTACAACATAAGGTATCATTTGGATATGTTAGTTTTAGATATTTCGATTTTGTATGTACATCACTAGATCTTGCAGAAATCTGGTGCTATTGCTTGAAATTTAAATTTTATCGAATTAGGATTTCCTAAAAATAAGTGTTTCTATGTTTTAAAAGTATTTCATAATCAACTTAATAAACAGCTTAAAAATTTATTTCAAATTTTAAAACAAAGATCTGTTACAGCCATGGCTACAAAGATGAATTTAGTGTAAAACTTTGAAATAAATTTCTGTATCTATGGTATCGACCGTTTATTTTGCCAAAGATACTAGATATATTTGCATTATCAGTTTAGACCCCGGATCTAAATGGTGATAGCAAGGTAATCGAAAGAGTCCACCACAGGGCAACAAAGTTAGTTATGTTTAATAGAAACCTAGCTTAAGAAAATAGTCTTAAAAAATTAAAAAAAACAAAAAAAGATTTGATTCAGTTGTTTAAATCATGCATAATTTGGACAAAGTTTATTTAAATAATTGTTTTAACATAGTCAAAACCAAAACGCAAGGTCACTGATTGAAATATTTTAAAAAGTTAACAGGACATAGGAGCAGAGAAAATTACTTATTCAATAGAGTCACAAATAATTGAAACTTATTGATGCACAATCAATGAACAAATTTAAAGTAGGCATTGATTGTTGGATGAACAACAATCAATCAACAAAACAACTGTGCTAGCATGCCTGACAGCTTACTCTCTGAATAACCTCCAGAACAGCATTACTGTTACTACTACAACTATGATATGATATAAATATGATATTGTATTTATCTATTTCATTATATGTTTACTATATCTTTGGTACGGCAGTATTCATATTAATCAATCTTTGTATGACCCAATCATACAAAGATTGATTATAAATGATGCTATGCAATTCAATCAATCAATCAATCTTCGTTTTGCGTCCAGAGACCCGGTTTCCCGAGGTAGGACATGATGCTACGCAATTATACATTTTTATTAGATTTGTTTTATTATTGCAATGAAAATAAAGTAGTTTTATAGTTAATAAATACAGTCAAAAAAGACTCAATAACCATGACCTTACTTCTTTATTTAACTAGAGTTTTAAAAATGAGAAATGTTAATACAAATACTTGCAAATTGTAAGAATATGACATGTATAAAAAATGTTATGTGATAATAGAGATATGGTTCAGACTTTATTGTAATCAAACTAGTTTATTCATTAAATCATTAGGTTAAGTCAGCGATGGTTTACTACTTTTGCAGTAGCCGTATTCATTTGCAAGACTCCGTAATGTGTGTTGTTTCAGATAAAACGTAAGATAGGTACTCCTATGGTATCAACCATGTTTACAAACAATCATAATGTACTTTTAATAAATTAACTCCGCCCATTTTGAATTATCTAGCACTTGATTATTTATTTATATCAAATTGAAAATAATTTAATACAAGTTAGGTAAGTAATTTAATACAAGTTAATTCTTAGGTAAATTTTTTAGATCATTACTTGTCAAATATCAATGGCTTATATGGAGTGGTTAACAGGGTTAGGGTTAGGGCCTCCATTTTCAACAAAATTTTCAAATATTTCACAAATGATTGAAAATTTTAACCACTCCATATTTGAGAAATGATTGAAAATTTTGTTAAAAAGAGAGGCCCTAACCCTGTTAACCACTCCATAAGCCATTGATTGTTATCAAAACAGAAATTTACATATTTTAACATTTTTTTATTTAATGTTCACTATTTCAACTATTTGACAAGTAATGATCTAAAAAACTTACCTAATTAAATTATTTTCAATTTGATATAAATAAATAATCAAGCACTAGATAATTCAAAATGGGCGGAGTTAATTTATAACAAGTACATTATGATTGTTTGTAAACATGGTTAATACCATAGGAGTACCGTTACTTCATGTGTATTTACATATTTTGTGCATTTTTAGTTGATGCCCAAAAAAACCACTGAAAATAAAGATGTGATTTTTTTAAAATAATAAATGAATAAACAGAAATATATAACGTATGAAACGAACTAATCCAGAAATCAACGACAAAAAATGCTTTCTTTCTTTTGTGATAGCGTCGAATTTTTGTCATTATTTTTTAATTTTTAGACCAAAATTTAATCAAAACATATAAGTTTGTCAATTTATTATCAATTCATGATTAAACATCAAGTTAAGTTAACTTAGTTTAGTAGAGTGAGATATGTAATGAAGTTTAAAGTTAGAAAATGTTATCCAATCTGCAAAAAAATGTTGAGTAACCTTTCCCCATTTTCATCCATTTTGAGTGTACAGTTAGCGAACGTTTTTCTTCGGAATACATAGCGTCGTTTGCAGGTGGGGCATGTTTCGTTCCTCGCCTCCAGCCAGTCTCGAAGTCAAGCATCATGAGTCCAAAACAAACATTATGAGTCCCATATTTGCATTCCTTCATGTATATGTATTGTATACGAATGACTTTGTATAAAATTTCTCCGAACACAGGCTGCACGTATCATTAAGGAATTTATCTTTCATAAATGGCAGAAAGAAGAGTCGGTTTCTTTTCATGATACGCGAATGATAATCCTTGACAGTGATTTTTACTTTAATTTCGCAACTGTTCAACACCTGGTTTTTCCCGAACACCATAGAGTAAGAACATAGACAAAAAACAGACCGTTAATTTAACATATCACCATAAGCAACCATCGCAAGTGTCATCATAAAGAACCATCATAACTATCTTAATAAAGAACCATCATAACTATTATCATAAAGAACCATCACAACTATCATCATAAGCAACCGTCACAACTATCATCATAAAGAACCATCACAACTATCATTATAACTATCATCATAAAGAACCATCACAACTATCATCATAACTATCATCATAACTATCATCATAACTATCACCATAAGCAACCATCACAAGTGTCATCATAAAGAATCATCATAACTATCTTAATAAAGAATCATCATAACTATCATCATAAAGAACCATCACAACTATCATCATTAATATCATCCTAAAAAACCATCATAAATATCATCATAAAGAACCATCACAACTATCATCATAAAGAATTATCACAACTACCATCATAATTATCATCATAAAGAACCATCATAACTATCATCATAAAGAACCATCATAACTATCATCATAAAGAACCATCATAACTATCATCATAACTACCATCATAACTATCATCATAAAGAACCATCGTAACTCTCATCATAAAAAGTATCATAACCGAGAGATGTTGTGGTGAACGAATGTATGGCGAGGCTGACGCGTAGACTCCCCATTGAAAGAAAGCCTGAGATGTCAGCTTGACCACCGCGCTACGTCAATAATTGGCTCAACATCCATAGACAGATTGTCCACAAGACAACTCGTACGTTTACGAATCAATGATGAATGCTGCCTTCATCCTCCGTGTGCCTAGCAAGTGCCGAAAAGAGCGCACGTGCCATGAAAGCGCCAAAGAGCGCGCTTTAGAGACACTTCTGCCTAAAAAGCACCGAAATGAGCGCGCTTTTTAGACAGATGAGAATGAAGTATAATGAACGAATGATTAAATGAACGAACGAATGAGAAAAAACAATTGAGAGTAAACTAACAATACGAGCTAAAGCATAGTAAAAAAAAGAAGCCTATATAGATTTCGAAAGTTAGTTATAAAACAAAATTGAGCCAAAAAATTAGTACATTAGAACATGAAATATTAATGAAAATAAGAATTAGTAAAAAAAAATAAATTCTAAGCCGCGCACGCCGAGCGAGCGATTAGCGCGCAAATGCGGCAGACGTGTGAAGATGAGACGAATGTTAACACAAAACAAAAAAACACACCAAAAAGTAGTGGTAGAATAGAAGTCCCTGCCTACCTATGTTATAAATTGCCTTAGACACCTATGTACTCTAGCTTATGTAATAAATCTCTAACCACTTGACTTACTTATTGAAAATTAATTCACATTTCACGTACCTACAATCTCAAGAAAGAAATAAAGAAAGAGTGAAATCTGCCACCACAAAAACATTTAATGCAAACAAATGTCGAGTGACGAACGAGCGGTTCGTGCGCAAACGTATGATAATGAAGCAAATGGCAACAGTAGCACAAAACTAAAATTACACCAAAAAGTTGAGTGGTAGAATAAAAGTCCCTGCCTTGTCCTACCTAAGTAATAAATTACCTTAGACACCCTAGCTTATGACACGTGTAATGGCTAATAAATTTTTCAATCTCAAACCCCATGACTTGGCTTGTTTATTGGAAATGAATTCACATCTCACCTACCTATGTCTGATTAATTAATCTAAAATCTTAAAAAGAAAATGGAGAAAGAGGAAAACCAGCCACCACAAAACATTGAATGATGAACAAACGAATGACGAACGACGGACGAGCGGTTCGCGCGCAAACGAATGATGATGAAACAAATGGTAACACAAAACAAAATAAACACACCAAAAAGTTGAGCTGTAGAATATAAGTCCCTGCCTACCTACGTAATAAATTACCTTAGATACCCTAGCCTATGACATGTGTAATGGCTAATAAATATCTCAATCTCAAATTCCATGACTTAGCTTGCCTATTGGAAATTTATTCACATCTCACCTACCTACGTCTGATTAATTAATCTAAATCTTAGAGAAAAAATAGAGAGAGTAAAACCTGCCACCACAAAACATTGATGATGAACAAACGAATGACGGACGAGCGGTTACAGCGCAAACGCGTGATGAAGAAACAAATGGTAACACAAAACAAAAAAAACACACCAATAAGTTGAGTGGTAGAATAGAAGTCCCTGCCTACCTACGTAATAAATTAACAATTACCTAGCTTGGCATGTGAGATGACTAATAAATCTCTCAATCTCAAACCCCATGACTTAGCTTACCTACTAATGAAAATTTATATTTTACTTAGCAGGGGCGTCACTAGGGGGGTGCGGGGGGTGCGGACCGCACCGGGTGAACCCTCACAAGGGGTGACACCAAAATATCACTGTATATGTTTTTATGTCCCTCCATGAAATTATTCTTAGCATTGATTCAGCCTAACCCGCCCAGCGCCCAGAAATGTATTATGAATAAAATTTCTTTCGTTCAAATCATCCATTTTTGTATTCCACGTTTATACCATTTGACGTCCGAATTATTAAGCGCCTCGCACATTTAACTTGTTCGTGTCTAACATAACGTACAACAGTGTTTGTTTTGCCCACCTACTACGCGCGTGTGTTAGTCAAGTTTAAGAGAATAATCTATAATTTACTTAAAGTAAAAAATTATTTAATTTTTAATCAATTTAATGATATAAGACAACAATTCAAAGTAATTTCACAAAAGTTGATCCGTAAGTACAAATATAATTTGTTTTATTAGCATTTAAATAATTTTAAAATTTTAACATTTAATTTAACCAACCAACCAAATTTCAAATAATTTCATTTTATTTATTTATATTTATATATTTATTGTTGAAGGATATTATATCATGCCACGTGGAGGTGGAGTTCATACAACAAAAAGGCTAAGCGGATGTCAACAAAGAAAAGCCAAAATAAAGAAAGATGAAATACTATCTACATTGCGCGGATCTATGATGCAATATGTAAAGGGATCAGATGAGGCCCAGAGTTCTTCCAAAGACACAGTCCTCAACCACAAAATGATGAGACTAATTTATCTGATGCTGGTATGCAGTCAGCAGAGGAAAACATTAATATAGAAGAAAATAGAGCAGAACAAGATAAAGAAATAGATGAATTTGTAGCAGAAGAGTGGACTGATAATAGTGACTTTAAATATGATACTGAAAATGAACTTACGGGGAAAAATTGGAATGTTTTGGATGATGCTTCTTATTGGAATATACCAATTCCAGATCAATTGCGCGTTCAAATCATCAAAAGAGGAAGTGCATATCTCCAGAACAAAGATGGGCCTTTCAGGATGTTGACGAGGCAAGATCTAAAAGCTAAAGGTGATGTTCGCCAGCTATCTAAAGAGTGGTTTTATATGGTGATGCCAAATGGTGAGAAGGTGTTGCAAACATGGATGGTTTATTCTCCCGTCAGTGAGAAATTATATTGTTTTTGCTGCCGACTCTTTGCCGTTAATGCTACAGACCCAACATCCAAATTTGTGACTGGATTTCAGACATGGTGGAAAATGAGCCCGAAAGTGCCTAATCATGAGACATCCGATGCTCACTTGCATTGCTTTGAAAAATGGAAAACGTTGGAGGTGAGACTTAGAATGCACAAAACAATTGATGCAGAAAATATTGCTTTGATAGACATAGAAAAGAAAAAGTGGAGAGACATCTTGCATAGGCTGCTCGATATTACATTGTTTCTCGCCAAGCAAAATCTGGCTTTTCGGGGCCACAATGAAGAAGAATCTTCATTAAATAAAGGAAACTTTCTTGAAATGGTTGAGATGCTTTCTAAATATGACTCAGTGCTAAAAGAGCACCTATTAAGATTAAAGCAAAGCACACATAAAACTAAAGCATCAGCATCTTATCTTGCACCAAATACTCAGAATGAGTTTATTCATGTCCTAGCAAATCATGTGAAGGAGAAGCTTATCATGGATATAAAATCTGCCCGGTATTTTGGTATCATGTTTGATAGCACACCTGACGCATCACACAATGACCAAATGTCTGAAATTATCAGATATGTGAAAATTCATAATAGAAAAGTTGAAGTAAGAGAAGTGTTTCTGGGATTTTTTCCTTTAAAAGGGAAAAAAGCTGCTGATCTCAGTTCTGATATTCTCGAAAATTTGGAAAGTGATGGACTCAACTTTATGATGTGCCGCGCTCAAGGTTACGACAATGCTGCGACTATGGCTGGAATCCATGGGGGTGTACAAGCCATTTTGAAAAGAAAGAACGGGAAAGCTATTTTTAATGGTTGTATGGATCATTCTCTTAACTTGTGTGGCCAACACTCTTTTGCTGAAAATGCTTTGTGCGTGACTTTTTTTGGAACTCTTGAGACAATGTTTTCATTTTTTGCTGCTTCCACTCACCGATGGGATGTTTTAATGAACCACACTGGAGTTTCATTAAAAAGATTATCAACAACACGCTGGAGTTCTCATCACGCAGCAGTAAAGGCAGTGAAAGAAAAATTTGATGAATGTGTGACGGCAATAGAAGCTCTTTGTGATCCAGGGGAAAATCTAGACACTAGAGGTACAGCCCGAGGTCTTTTACCTGTTATCTGCAATTTCACTTTTCTGTGCTATCTCTTCTTTTGGTGTGATGTACTTGAAGAAGTAAATCTAACGCAGCTGTACCTTCAGACTAAGGGCTTAAGTCTTGACAAGGTGGTGACAAAGCTAGAGACACTAAGACTTTTTATGTATGAGAAGCGCAATCATCTTGTGGAGCAGGCAATTGAACAGGCACTTATAAAATCAGACCAATATGGAATTTTAGTAGAGAGCAGACCCAGGTTCAAGAAGAGGATGGCAGGCGAGCGCGAGAAGACGAGAGATGCTGGACTTACTCTGCAGGAAGAAAACAAGAGAGCGATGTATAAGTGTATTGATCGTTTCCATTCTGAACTCCAGATCAGATCAAGAGCCATCAAGGAAGTAGCAGCCATGTTTGAGGTTGTTCAAGCCAAGAGTTTGATATCTGCTACTGAAGAAGAGTTATTGGTAAACATTCAAAAATTGACCACATTCTATGATGAGTTATCAGAAATAGAGCTTTTATTAGAAATACCAAGACTGAGAAGATATCTGAAGGCAGCAGAGATTGATCTTGAAGAAGCCAAAGACTGGTCAGTACTTGACATTTTGAAATTCATAGTTGAATGGGACTTCCTAGAATCTCTCAGTGAGCCTACAATTATTTCTTACAATCTGTGTGTCTGTGGCTTCATGTGAGAGGAGTTTTTCAAAGCTAAAGATTATAAAGAACTATTTGCGATCTACTATGGGACAGTCTAGGCTTTCTGATCTTGCAATATTATCAATTGAAAGAGATTTGGCAAAAGAAGTTGATTTTGATGAAGTAATTAACAAGTTTGCATCTTTAAAGGCGAGGAAAGGGAAGTTCTGATTTAGTTGAGATTTAATGTGACATAAAATTTAATGTAAAAATAACAATTAAAAAAGTGACATATTTTCTATTTAGTTTTATTTCTTAAAATCTTTGATAGATCACAATTTTTTTTAAAGAATAAAAAAATCGACCTTGAATTATATTTTCTTCTATTGTCGTTGTAAATTTATTTATAAATTATGCTAAGAATGCTGTATGTCTATGGGGTGTCATGAGAGGGGTGACACCATGAGTTACCGCACCGGGTGACACCAACCCTAGTGACGCCACTGTTTTACTTACCTATGTTTGGTTAATTAATTAATCTAAAAAAAATCTCAGGTAAAAGATAAGAAAGAGTTAAACCTGCCACCACAAAAACATTAAATGACGAACGAACGAATGACGAACGAACGAATGACGAACGAGCGGTTCGCGCGCAGACGTACGATGATGAAACCTAACGGTAACATTAAACAAAAAACCACACCAAAATGTAGTGGTAGAATAGAAATCCCTGCTTACCTAAGTAATAAATTACCTTAGACACTCTAACAGTCTAACTTGACATGTGCAATGACATAAATCTCTCAATCTCAAACCCTATGACCTAGCTTATCCATTCCTATTGGAAATTAAATTAACTCATAGCTCACCTAACTATGTTTGATTAGTTATTTTATTAATCTAAAATAAAATCTAAGGTAGAAGATGGAGAGAAAGTAAAACCTGCCACACAAAACGTTGAATGACGAATGAACTAATGACGAATGATAAACGAATGGCGAACGAACAGCAAACGAACGGCGAACGAGCGCGTACACCGGCGTACCTAACCTTTTATGATACAAATCAGATCGAAACTTATATTAAATTCAGTTAGAATAAACACGAATCTACAAGAATTAGCAAGAATAAACTAGAGTTAACTATGTTTATAAAATAAAACTAATAAACGGAGATCAAGAATTCCGGCAGCCGAGCAAAAACCCTTGCAAAGATTTGAACTTTTGCACTCAATGTACTCAAAAATTATTTACCAAACTTTCTGATTGGCTAGTTAGTTGGTGGCAGCTTTTTTTTAAAAAATGCATATAAAAATTTGTCTATTTAAGTCTTTTTTATGTATTATTCACTCTCACTATGTATATTTGAATTTTGTATAAATTTATTATGAAACAAACAGTTTCATTGTTTCGTGTATGCGTGGTTCGTTCAATTTTCTTTTTGAATTCGAATTTACTTAAGATTTTCAGATCAATTCTTTTATTCACTTGAAAATTTTGTGTAAAATAGAAATACACGCATAAATACACACACACACACATACACACACGCATATAGATACATCACACACATACATACGTACATACATAAAACACATTTGTTTTTTGGTTGGCTGGTATTTGTTTGTGTGTTTATATTTGTTTGTG